CGATATCAAACCAAGCTTATGTTATACGTTGGCCAAGTTCCCATATTTTGATTTTGCAAATCCGAGCAGAAATTCTAACTCGTTTTATTACAAGGTTATTTCCAAATTGAAACGGAAAGGTTAACCCCGAAATTAGTTTTACATAACTAAATTGTAAAATGACCCCACGCGATCAAGGAATAATTAACAAATAATATTGAAACACAGTTTTAGGTTTAGAATCACAAAAGGCAATACAATGGATCAAATAAAGTGGCACCAGCAAAAACTAACAGGCCCTATAGCCGATGTAGGTGAACTCACGAATTTTCAGAATTTGACACTGTCAGATATCTTGAAACAGGCCGTTGCTCCATTCTTGTATCCGGAACAATATTGGCAAGTAGATGAGTCGTAAGTGAAGTCGTACAAGGCCTCGAATCGTCATCGTGTCGCTCCTGCATAGGCACAGCCTACCTTCTAGAAACTCCACTCCCGAAACTTCTCGAACGATCATGTCTGCCCTGTGTTTGTCAACAACCAATGGAGATAACTCTAAATCACACTTCCTGTTACGATCTGTCCACTACAACACTCAATATTTTACGAGCGTGTCACTAATTTGCCGCCACTTACAACCACTACGAATAAACTTACAACAAACACCACTGCCACATATCAATATGCATAAAGAAACAGTTCAGCGAAAAAAAAAAGGGGGGGGGGGGGGGGGGGGGAGGGGGTAGCACAATTGGTGTGAAGTCCGGCATTTCACATATTGTTTCTTTATATGACATTTGCTTTCATATTTGTTAAATTGTCCTGAATATTTGAAGATAGATAAGTAACTATATCTACAGTCCCGACGTTGTCGATGGTTCAATGAATGAATGAGTGAGTTAATATGTTCAACGCCGCATTTAGCAATATCACACCGGGGGACGCAGGAAATGGGCTTCACACATTGTACCCATATGAGGAGTCGAACTCGGCGTGACGAGCGAACGCTTTAACCACCAGCCTACCCCAACGCCCTTTCAAGGAATGAACTTCCTCAAGTTTGTCATGTGGTATAGGAGTGTAAAAGTTGAAAAGTCAAACTTTTTGACAGAATTGAATTTGGTTCTTTTCCCTTTGAGTTTTTGAAAATTCTTATGGTATTAATTCCAGTTTTCTGAAAGGAAGTCCGTCCCTGATTGTATGAAGGATAATCTCTATGGCGTGGATTTGGTGGTACTTTTCAATGTATGTCTTTGTACGTCCGATTCCAGTACAAATCAGGGACTGACATGTCTTCAGGTCTTCAGCCAAAACGTAATAGTCCTGACGGGAGGTTCTGGCAGATTTCTTCCTCGGTTAACATACTGGCCTTATATGTGACACTATTTGATATGTCTCTCACACCCCGTTCCTTGATCAAACAATTAATGTAGATGACCTTACATATAATGGTTATGTTATCTGATGCCTTGTCAACTACAAACGTTAGCTGTAGGGCAGCCAGACGTCGGATGACAGCTGTCTGGGCAGAATGGGCTAAATCCAATTCTGTTTCCACTTTTGTAAGTGTCTGCAGTCTACCAATGACAACATCACGCACATGCTTAACCCACTCTGAAAGACAGCAACAGGATCATCCTCTCTATTGGTCTATTATATTTGGCATATGCCTCGACAGCATCCATAATCCTAATTGGTAGCAGGTTCATATTTTGGGCACTATTTGAATAACTGACGAAGGTTGTTATCGTCAGCAATGGAGAAGTCATCTGCGACCCATAAGCACGGGTGCTGACAAACCAAGGTCCTTAATCGGACCACAAAGGGCAGCGTAAGCTAGCGTCTAAGGAGCATTGGGTGCACAGCGACTAGTGATGCGACCAAGGGTCATAATCATGGCGAATCTGAGATTCGGACCAACGATCAGCGGATCCTGCAAACAAAAGTGTGGCGGCTTAAAGAACGTTACCACCCGTGACCTCTCTCACATATGAACACATACATCATCATCGTCATCATCATCATACAAACAGATACACATGGCTTTCTGATACAGTTAACACATGTACATACATATTCACGAGTAAACGTTCTGTTTTGTATATTTGTTGTTTAAGGCAATATTCCAGCTATATGACGGTGGTCTGTAAATAATCGAGTCTGGACCAGACAGTCAAGTGATTGACATCATGAGCATCGATCCACGCAATTGGGATCGATTACATGCATCAACCATGTCAGCGAGTCTGACCACCCGATCTCGTTAGTCGCCTTATACGACAAGCATAGTCGCCTTCTATGGCAAGCATGGTGGCACCGTTTCGTGATCCAAGATGACATGGGTCTCTTGTCGTCGATGGTGTCTTGATATCCGCAACGATCTAGCCAATGAAATACGATGACATGCATCAACCAAGTTAGCGAGCCTGACCACCGGATCCCGTTTGTCGCCTCTTACGACAAGCATCGTTGCCTCTTATGACAAGCATGCGTTGCTGAAGACCAATTCTAACCCGGATCTTCACGGGAAGATGTAAACTGGCGAGCAAAAGAAAGTACACACCCATGGTGGTGCCTAAAATGAAACCAAAATCGAGAAATGGTTGTTCGAGGGTGATGTATTTGACAGTTGATAGCATCATAGTTGTGACGTAAAGTATGCAATGTTTCGGCTACCATTTTTAGCCTAGTAACGTTGGTCATTTTTTTTTTATCAGATTCATTTTCCAAGCGTATACTTTCTTTTGCCAAGAAGTTTATAGTACTAAAGTGTGTAGCTAATACGACAATGGAATTATGAAACTTAACTAAACCATGGTTCACAATAACATTTCGACCTAAATTTAATAAAGGAAAATAAGGGTTTTAATCAATATACATTTGAACCGTGCAAAAGTAAGCATATACTTGTAATTTGGACTTGACAAAAAAAAGTCGAATAATTATTTCTTGTTTGTTTCATTTGTAGCCATCCTCAAACATGGGTGTATATTTTCTTTAGTTCGGCAGTTTACATTTCCTTAAGGATCGATCAGCGATACAGAGCTAGACGTGAAAAAGAACAATCTGCGGTTTCGTGATTTGGATGGAATATAAAGTAATGAAAGTATAAAAGAAATCGTATCTTAAATTTACAAAATCCATCAAAAACTCCCCTTTCACTAATTGCGAAAGAATTGATTTCCTCTGCTCGTCTCAATGCGTCTAAGAGTGACCTTCTCGAGGGATCAGCTGACATGAAGGTGTCTGAAAAAGTGAGAAACACTCCCACCAATCCAGACCTGTATAAAAATATCGCGAATTTCATTATGGCTTGTTTTCAAGTTTGTTTGTTTGTTGTTTAACGCCGCACTCAGCAATATTCCAGCTATATGACAACGGTCTGTAAATAATCGAATCTGGACCAGTCAATCCATTGATTGACATCATGAGCATCGATCCACCCAACTGGGATCGATGACATGCATCAACCAGGTCAGCGAGCCTGACAACCCGATCCCGTTAGTCGCCTCTTACGACAAGCACAGTCACCTTTTACGGCAAGCATGGGTTGCTGAAGACCTATTCTACCCCGGATCTTCACGGGGCTTGTTTTCAAGTATTACCACACATGCAGTTAATTAATAATGGCGATAGTTCTTCATTCTATTTTAAGCGGTGATGACTATAAAAGCTCTAGTGAGGAGCAGCCGAGAATTGTGTCGAATCATTGCAGTGCAACTTATCACCATCTTCCCGAGGCAAGAGAGCTAACTGACTTTAAAAGTCCAGTTTCAACCCTTGCCGAACTGGGCTGGAATTCCTGGGCTCGATCGTAGCGCCGCCAGTGGCTATTACCAGTTATGTCCCTTCTAAGCCTCTCCTATGGACCAATCAGATTCTCGTATCACTTGCATTTGCTTCAAACAAAATGGCGGCGCCAAGTCTGGACGATCTGCTCGATAATCAAGATCTATATTGTGATAAAACGGGTCTTACATCGCGAATCGCTCAAATCACGCGAGCATTTTGATAAAATACATGAAAAGATTTTGATAATATCTGTTGACAACGAAATGGCGGTGCACATGCTTTGCAAATCCTGCAATCGACCGAAATCTGCATGACAAGTAACGAGCCGCATTTCGATTTCGTTGCGCGATTTTGATTGGACTATGCATAGACTCGTTAGTCCAGCCAAATTGTAACTCCATAATACAAGCCTAGTTCGGCAAGGGTGGAAACTGGACTTTTATAGTCAGTTTACTCACTTGCCTCGGGAAGATGCTATTCACAGACATACTAAACCTTTCACATTGCCTGCTGTTACTGACTGGCTTCTGGATTCTATCATTATTGAAGTCATATCAGGCTGTGACAGCTAATTATGCTCTCGGGTCCATTCGGCACATTCCGCTGCATAATACCTCGGCAGCAACTGAGTAGGGACATTGTATGAATTCACCGTACTCCCATTCTCGCATTCGGCTTTGTCCGCCAAATCTGAAAAAATATCCCAGCGCCCTCTGTTGGCTGATCGCCGGAAACTAAAACACTAGATCCAGGCGGGTGAAGTGAGTATTCAAAAACGGGTTATTCTACGCTTAACTGAGAGTAGGTATATATAGTTTAGTGTCAACAAAAGTGGAAACAATTTGAAGCGTTATATATGTCCACAACTGTCGCCATGTTGTGTCTCGTGACAGCCGTCAAGTAGAATCTGTTCCAATATGGATTCCGTCTAGCCTTTACTTTCGTTAGTGATTACTGATGTGTATCATTTTGATTCCTGTGAAGAATACAACCTTTTAATGGTGGTGTTCCTCATGCAAGCCCATGCCTCTTGATACATCCTGGGGCCACGGGTGGCCCAGTCGTCTAAGGCATGCACTTTTCCGTGCAGAGTTGCGTCCCTTGGGCACGCCAGATACCTATGATTGTGGGTTCGAATCCTGGTTCGCTCCGATTATATTTCTAGGTTGGTCAGCACTATACCCGTGTTCGTGGGTTTCACGAAAGTGGTAAATGTCTGAGACCCCCATAACTTTCCTCAAACATTAAGCTGACTCGCCGTGACATAACTGGAATACTGTTCAACGCGGCGTTAAACCAAACTCGTCACGATCTGAGTGAGTTCTAGATCATAACCTAAAATCTCCCTGCCAGTCTAATATACAAAACAATTTCAACATTACCCCACGAGGAACTGAACGCAGAGTAAAGGTATGTTCAGTTCAAGTCCCGTAGTTGATTTAATATTAACTTCGGAATGTGTCCAAAAACTAGTGTTTCCTTCAGATATGGGTGTCGTTCACTTCCTCCGCGTGGCGATCAGATCCGTCATATACGACAACAATGTCTCCATTAGTGTCGGGGATTTCCCGCGGAAGTAGTTCCGGCATAGACTCCATTACTTCACCGTTGCCTTCTGGGATACGTGTGTCATCCACATCCTGGTGTGACGTCAGATGCGTAGTGCTGACTTCGCGTCGTTGTCGATCCTCGTGTCTAGAGGGGTCTCTGATCAGTCTGCGCCGGCACTGGTACCAGACGTTAAGGGGGTGTCCCATTGACACCACGGACAGACAGAGGAGCAAGATGTTCACCTACAGAGAGAAAAGGGAAAACAAAGTTAATCTGAACTCCATCAAAGGTGGTCATCGAGTGCTGATTCAAAACGCTGCTATTATTGTACTATCATGGCGTTTTCTACCTATAAGTGCTTGTTTTCACTTTATATCTATCATTTCACTCAATATCTATCAGGCTGCCTCCGTGGTTTAGTCGGAGGGTGTTCGCCCGGAGAGCGGAAGGTCCGGAGTTCGATTTCCGACCGCGTCATACCAAAAGACATTAAAAGATCGTACTTGTTGTTACACTGTCTTGCGCTCGGCATTAAGGGAGGGGCTAAAACAAGGACGGGTCTGCTCGGAGTCAGTATACTGTGTCTGAGTGGGATATTCATGTTAAACTGCGGCATGGTATCTCAGTGGGCTAGCACTATAAACTCAGCTTTTGTCCGGACCAGTACAAGCAGTCACACACACGTGCATGCACGTCGCTATATAAGTGCAATAATCTTAGACGCGACGTTAAACCTCATTCCAACACACCTCATCTTAATCTATCGTTTAACTTTATATCTATCATTTCACTCTATATCTATAATCTATTACCCCGTGGGGGTACCCGTTCAGAATTTGCCCCCCCCCCCCCCCCCCCCCCCAGGCTCCATGCTGGTTGTATGAGACGAGAAAAAGGATCGGTGGTCAGGCTCCACTTAGTTGTTGTCCTCATTTGCATATTTATCGCATTGTGATACTATTTTTTTCGGATTGCTTTATCCCACTGATAACACTATCCATAATATGACAATTATGTATAACGAACTTTACATTATCATTTTCAATATGGCCGCCGTGACGGCCCTGCTTACAATTTGCCGAATGTAAAAAACCCTGAGACACGTGTCTTACTTCTATGTCATAGTAAACACATATTACAAAGTACCTTTCAAGCCCATTCCGCCGACAAACTGTGTCTGTCGCAAAGGTCACCGATCATTTGCTTTGTATTTGAACATAAGGTTTCGCCCGGTCGGCGTATTGTGTCGCCTCCTTATTGCAGGAACCATATTCAAAGTTGAAAGAGCTCTACTTTCGGTGCATTGTCATACAAATATCGACAGACGGAGAAGCCATATACATGCAACTGTTGCTTGGCTTCTTATATCATATTTAAGGTAGATCGCTTTATTCCTGAAGACAGCAGTAAATAACCTTGAAATTGGATTTGACAAAAAAATTACAAACGTCATAAAAATGTTAGTAGGCTGAAAACAGTCCGGCTCACCATTTCGTGTTTGTTTCATTTTTAGCCACCATCAAACTTGGGTATACTTCCTTTTGCCCGGCAATGTAGAAGACAGTAAAACTAGATCAGCGCCTGTATAGCATGAAACTGGGAGGAGTTGGTGTAATAACAAGTGAGTGAGTGAGTGGGTTGGATTTAACGCCGCTTTTAACAGTATTCCAGTTATATCACGGCGCGTCAACTTAATGTGGGAGGAAAGCCCGAAGTAATGCAGGACTCAGACGTTTACCACTTCGGTGAAACCCACGAGCACGGGTTTGGTGCTGACAAACCTAGAAACATGATCGAGGCATAATCTGTTAAAACAAACAAATACAAAAGAAATTGTTTCGGTAAGAAATGAGGATCTTACTGACTGACGTCCCCTTCACAAAAACTTATGTGTAGAAACTTTGTATTCTATATCTGTATTCCAAAAGAAAATGAGATGTTCCATTTTTTAACACAGTGCCTTCATTTTTTTTAAAACAAACCCAACACGCTTAATACTTTTCTGTTTTTGCGTTTCCTCGTGTTAGAAAAGAATAATATGTTAAAAACATACAAATAAAAAACATCTGACTGACTGACATCAGATCTGACTGACGTCCTCCTTCACAAAAACAATGTGAATTAAATTTGTATTCTATATCTAATTTCAAGAATCATTTTAAAAATAAAATGAGAAGTGACAGTGAGGATTAATGTTTCCGGGGGAAATATATATTCATATAGAAAAATATAACAGTGTTAGTAAGATGCTGTCTGTGGAAATAATATCCTTGGCAAAAGTTTGCACTGGATCTTTTTACCGAGGTATTACTTCCTCTGGATTAAATATCCTTTTACACTTACGCAGTGTTGTAATACTATAGTTGTTTAAAAACTTTTATAAGCAAGTCAAAAATTAATCGGGGAATGGTGATATATATACTCTTCAAAAAAAAGAAACTTGACACTGACTTTCAAAATGTAATATAATGCTATTGTTTCAAAATAGGACACAGAAACCATAATTGAAACACTGCTTGAAGATCAATGTACACAATGTTCAAAACATTAATCGTGTCACCTAGACAGACACACGTACACGATACAGTTAATGTCACAGGGGTACAGAAAATGTCAGTATCGGTTGTGCCCACCATGTGCATCAATCACCGCTTGACACCGACGACCCATAGATGCAATCAAGTTGTCAATAACACGCTGTTGCATGTGCTGCCATTCATGCTGAAGTGCACCAAGAAGCGCCGGAAGTGTTTGGGGCGGTGGATTCCCTCTGCGAACGCGTCGATCAAACTCGTCCCACAGATGCTCAATCGGGGACAAATCTGGTGACCGGGCTGGCCAAAGTAATGTCTGGATGTTGTTGTGCTGTAAAAAGTCCTGACAAACGCGTGCAATATGCGTTCGAGTGTTGTCCTGCTGGAACTGTCCGCCATGAACGTTGACGTGAGGAAGAACGTACGGCTGTAGGATCAAGTCTCTGTAACGCACACCTGTCAATGCACCTGTCACATGCACGAGAGGCGTCCTACCACCGTGATGAATTCCGGCCCATACCATGACACTCCCGCCGCCAAATGGGACAAACTGTTGCACACAGTTGGGGGCGTAACGTTCACCCCGACGTCTGTAGACACGTTGCGCCCATCAGCACGTGTGAGTAGAAAACGGGACTCGTCAGTAAACAGTACATTTCTCCACCTTGCACGTGCCCATCTAACCCTCTGTTGGCACCAAAGCGGACGGTCTGCCAGATGACGTGGGGTCAATACATGACGTCGAACAGTTCTTCGTGCTAAAAGTTTGATCTGATATTCTGCGTACCCCAGGGATCTGTGTGGTTGTAGACGTGGCTGTGTTAGTCCGGTCTCGGAGATGTCGAAGCCGGATGTATCGATCTTGTGCTTGGGTTGTCACCCTTGGTCTTCCTGACCTTGGTCTGTCCTCAACTCTGTTGGTGTTGATGTATCGGGTCCACAGTGCGGAGATTGTCTGTCTGGATACGCCAAAGTGCCTGGCCACTTCTTGCTGAGTTGCTCCAGCTTGTAATCTCCCAATGGCGTTGTTCCGTTGAGCTGCATTCAGTCTTGGCATTCTGTCACCGCCTCTACTCTCGTTATTAGGACTGTATGAACAGCCGTTGATGTGGATTTTTATACCCATTCAGCAGGGGGGCCTGCAAGCCTAAATGCAGGATCCTGTGCTGCACGTTTTTTACAGGCGGTTGCGTTTGGATGAAGCTGTAAAATTGATCCCCAAACGCTACGTTTATGTGCTTTGCATGTGTTTTCGCGAATTAAAGACACATCATCTTTCTGTTGACTTAATTGGTTCTCATTTAATGTAATTATTTTAGATATTTGGCAAAAAGTGGTTTTACATCTATGTCCAGTTTCTTTTTTTGAAGAGTATATTTTGCGTATTTCGCAGTTAATATATATACTCAACAACAAAAGTTCCTATGACACCAATATTTTAGTGTAACGCGTAACCAATAATCGACAAGACAATTGGATTCGAACAACACACCTACGAAATCGATTCCAGCCAGCAACAGTGACTGCAAGAAGCATCCATGGCCTTCGACGAATATCTTCACAAACCGTACGTCGCCGCCTCAGATGTGCAGGGATTGTCGCCAGAAGACCCGCCAGACGTGACATTTTGACGGAAAACCACCGTCAAGCACGTCTACAGTGGTGCAGACAGCGTCTACGCTGGACGACCATGCAGTGGGGACAAGTTCTATTCACTGACGAGTCTCGTTTTCACCTCAGCCACAGCGATGGACAGAATTCGAGACGGATACCGACGTCCGTTTTTGCGTCGTCATGGCCCAGGCATTACCTTTCAACATGACAACGCCCGGCCTCGCATTGCCCGACTTGTTCAGGATTCCCTTCAACAAAACTACGTGAATGTCATCCCCTGGCCGGCTCGCTCCCCTGATCTCTCACCAATCGAGCACACTTGGTTTAGATGGATCGGCGCCTTCGACGTCAACCACGTGTTCCACAGACACTCCAGGAACTTCGAAACATGCTCCAGCAGATATTGACAGATATCCCACAGGACTTTATGCGACGCCTGGTCCATTCCATGAGACGAAGATGTGTTGCTTGCATCGCAACCAGAGGTGGACACACACGCTATTGATTTGTCAATTGACATTTTGGCATGTTCATGTTTTATATGAAATCACGCATTTTCTGAAGTCAGTATGGCAAATTAAACCATTTGAACACATACAGGAGTCTTTTATCTGTTGCAAACCGAAATCATTTCAGATTTGGTAAAAAACATAACTTTGCATTAAATCTTATTCAATGTCACAGGAACTTTTGTTGTTCAGTATATGTGAAATTCGGGATAGGACATTTAGGCAGGAAAGAGGCATTCCAACTGGCACTACTTGTGCTCCCCTTGTCATCTGTTTCTTCATGCATCATGAATTGGAATTTCTGAGCAAGTCAAATAATTTTGAACGCGACGTTGAACCTCAACTTATCTTTATGTCGAGAAAATTTCCAGCAGCTTCGGCCTCCGGTCTACACTTCACAACCTTTGAGGCACAATCAAGATAGTTCTTTCCTACGATGATTTCAAACAGCGTCATGTGACTCTTGCTGAAAAGTTGTTTGATCAGTGTTACAACATGCAAACCTCAGGTTAGGCTTTTAAAAATGTTTATGGTAGGCATATGGAGGATATTTCAAAGTTTGAATCACATTTGTGTTTGATCAAGATTTTGTGACCTTTCGCCTTTCACCATTTGTCACCATTTTGGCGAAAACCTAGTGTCATCACTGATTTACAGTGATCCATTTTCATCGCTATTTTGCCTTTTACTTTTATGGAATTTGTTTCGGTGTATAATCAAGACTGGTTATTCTCTGGCGTTGAGGGGCGGCCGGGTAGCCTGGTGGTTAAAGCGTTAGCTCGTCACGCCGAAGAACCGGGTTCGAGTCCCGACATGGGTACAATGTGTGAAGCCCATTTCTGGTGTCCCCCGCCGTGATATTGCTGGATTATTGCTAAAAGCGGCGTAAAACCTCACTCACTCACTCACTCTGGCGTTGACGTTTAATATTTATGCTTATAGAAATAGCTTTGTGGCTATGACTTCATAAGCCTGATAGAGATTCAACATGTATCGATTTCTTTGTTCCATTGATGCCTGTATTTAATCTTTATAAAATAATATCTGCTTATAATTGTCATTAGTTTCCATTTGCTATAATTTCCACCACTGTTCTGGGGATTGGACGTAGTCAATTTTTCTCTAAGGGCCAAAGATGAAAACAAACAGCCTACACTTCCAGTCTGATGACATCACTTCCGTTTTAGACAGACCCATGGCTCTAGCCAACGCTATATGGACTTCCTGTCTAATGACACCACTTCCGGTTGGGGATGTCAGAACAGTGCTGTGGTGGCGGTGGTTGTTTAAAGCATTCCCGGAATGACCAATCTTATACTAGAAGCATACACCATTAATTATCCGTAAACATCAGCAATGAAACATCAATCTTTTCCATCTTCTGACCAAATCAGTTTCACATGCCTGCCGTTCCTATTTCAGGCAATCTCGCGTTTAATCGCCGTGCTTTCCAGCAACGCAAACAGGAAACGAGAGTTTGAGGACAGTGGTTCAACAGCATCAGCCGGGACTAATAACAAGAAGGGTGTCTGTGTCTGTGTCTGTGTCTTCGTATGTGTCTGTGTCTGTATGGCGCTGACACGAAGGAACCAATCATTACATCAACACTGGATCTCAATGAGAATTCGTACTACATTCAAACAAAAACCATCCTTTGACCACTGACACGCACGTCAAAGTTGGAACTTGACCAGCACTATACGAGGCTAGCTATTACCGCGGCATCGTCTTGGCCGTCTTCGTGGTCAGTGTGTGTCCGTCAATAGGACCACATCGTTATGACTGAACACTCCTTCTGTTGAGGCAATGCCTGATTAACCAATCTCCCTCTTGTCACGCTCCCCCAGAAACAAGTTCAGACATAATATTATGTGCATGTGGTTAACAGTGCAGTATATATTGGTTTACGTACATTTAGTCCATGGTTAGTAAAAACTAGAAAACATTTAAAATAGGCATTCAAGAAGAATGTACATAACCTGAAATTGATATTCCCACACGGTTATAAATTACGGCGAATGATCGAATTGAATATATATATTTCACGACATGACTGAGATGGAGAAAGCTTGACATGTAGGTGAGGTGAAATTGGGTTTAACGTCGCGTCCAAGATAATTGCATTTATATAGCAACGTGCATGGACGTGTGTGTGTGTGGCTGCTTGTACTAGTCCGGACTGATGCCGTTTTATAGTGCTAGCTCACTGAGATACCATGCCGCAGTTTAACGTGAATACCCCACTCAGACACAGTATACTGACTCCGAGCCGACAAGTCCTTGTTTTAGTCCCTTAATGCCGAGCGCCAGAGAGGGTAACAACAAGTACCATCTTTTAACGTCTTTTGGTATGACGCGGCCGGGGATCGAACCCTGTAACAACTAACACCCGATCTACAATATCTCTACAGCAAAGTACAACTACCACATGACTCATAATGTGTCTGTACAACAAGGCCAAGCTACCACCTTACCTGCAATATGTCTATACATCAAGGCCAAGCTACAGCCCTACCTGCAATATGTCTATACAACAAGGCCAAGCTACCACCTTACCTGCAATATGTCTATACATCAAGGCCAATCTACCACCTTACCTGCAATATGTCTATACAACAAGGCCAAGCTATCACCTTGCCTGCAATATGTCTATACAACAAGGCCAAGCTACCACCTTACCTGCAATATGTCTATACAACAAGGCCAAGCTACCACCTTACCTGCAATATGTCTATACAACAAGGCCAAGCTACCACCTTACCTGCAATATGTCCATACAACAAGGCCAAGCTACAGCCTTACCTGCAATATGTCTATACAACAAGGCCAAGCTACCACCTTACCTGCAATATGTCAATACAACAAGGCCAAGCTACCACCTTACCTGCAATATGTCTATACAACAAGGCCAAGCTACCACCTTACCTGCAATATGTCAATACAACAAGGCCAAGGCTACCACCTTACCTGCAATATGTCTATACAACAAGGCCAAGCTACCACCTTACCTGCAATATGTCTATACAACAAGGCCAAGCTATCACCTTGCCTGCAATATGTCCATACAACAAGGCCAAGCTACCACCTTACCTGCAATATGTCTATACAACAAGGCCAAGCTACCACCTTACCTGCAATATGTCCATACAACAAGGCCAAGCTACCACCTTACCTGCAATATGTCTATACAACAAGGCCAAGCTACCACCTTACCTGCAATATGTCTATACAACAAGGCCAAGCTACCACCTTACCTGCAATATGTCCATACAACAAGGCCAAGCTACCACCTTACCTGCAATATGTCTATACAACAAGGCCAAGCTACCACCTTACCTGCAATATGTCTATACAACAAGGCCAAGCTACCACCTTACTTGCAATATGTCTATACAACAAGGCCAAGCTACCACCTTACCTGCAATATCTCCATACAACAAGGCCAAGCTACAGCCTTACCTGCAATATGTCTATACAACAAGGCCAAGCTACAGCCCTACCTGCAATATGTCTATACAACAAGGCCAAGCTACCACCTTACCTGCAATATGTCTATACAACAAGGCCAAGCTACCACCTTACCTGCAATATGTCTATACAACAAGGCCAAGCTACCACCTTACCTGCAATATGTCCATACAACAAGGCCAAGCTACAGCCTTACCTGCAATATGTCTATACAACAAGGCCAAGCTACCACCTTACCTGCAATATGTCCATACAACAAGGCCAAGCTACAGCCTTACCTGCAATATGTCTATACAACAAGGCCAAGCTACCACCTTACCTGCAATATGTCTATACAACAAGGCCAAGCTTCCACCTTACCTGCAATATGTCCATACAACAAGGCCAAGCTACAGCCTTACCTGCAATATGTCTATACAACAAGGCCAAGCTACCACCTTACCTGCAATATGTCCATACAACAAGGCCAAGCTACAGCCTTACCTGCAATATGTCTATACAACAAGGCCAAGCTACCACCTTACCTGCAATATGTCTATACAACAAGGCCAAGCTACCACCTTACCTGCAATATGTCCATACAACAAGGCCAAGCTACAGCCTTACCTGCAATATGTCTATACAACAAGGCCAAGCTACCACCTTACCTGCAATATGTCCATACAACAAGGCCAAGCTACCACCTTACCTGCAATATGTCCATACAACAAGGCCAAGCTACCACCTTACCTGCAATATGTCTATACAACAAGGCCAAGCTACCACCTTACCTGCAATATGTCCATACAACAAGGCCAAGCTACAGCCTTACCTGCAATATGTCTATACAACAAGGCCAAACTACCACCTTACCTGCAATATGTCTATACAACAAGGCCAAGCTACCACCTTACCTGCAATATGTCTATACAACAAGGCCAAGCTACCACCTTACCTGCAATATGTCTATACAACAAGGCCAAGCTACCACCTTACCTGCAATATGTCTATACAACAAGGCCAAGCTACCACCTTACCTGCAGTGTGTCTATACAACAAGGCCAAGCTACCACCTTACCTGCAATATGTCTATACAACAAGGCCAAGCTACCACCTTACCTGCAGTGTGTCTGTGTATTTTTTAATGAGGAAGTTCCTCATGGGAAACTGGAAGGCTCCGATTATTGACGATACCGCCGTCATCACACCAAACAGTTTGCCGAAATGTTGCTGGGGAAAGTGCCTGAAATTCCAGATGCAGAAACAGCAAGTCAGTCCAAAGTTCTACGTGAATAAAAATACTAAATTTATGGTTGGTTTGTTGTTTTACGCCGCATTCAGCAACATTCCAACTATATGACGGTGGTCTGTAAATAACCGAATCTGGACCAGACAATCCAGTGATTGATATCATGAGCATCGATCCACGCAATTGGGATCGATGACATGCTTCAACCAAGTCAGCGAGCCTGACCACCCGATCCCGTTAGTCGCCTCTTACGACAAGTATAGCATGGGTTGCTGAAGACCTATTCTACCCCGGATGTTCACAGGGAGCTAAATGTATGGAATCAAGCCCGCTTTTCATAGACTTACAGTTACGTTGATTCCTAGAATCCAAAACGCAGGAAAACAGACGTCTCGTATTGATTCGAGATATTCAAGTTACTTGCCCAAAGAATATTCATCACCGCTTTGACCGAACAAACGTTGGCCGTATCTATTGAATACTGAACTTATCCAGTCCTCGCATATTGAACTTTTCATTTCTCATTTCGCTAATTTCTAATCTCACAAATAGCAGATAAACATAGCCCAAAGAAATGTACCAAAACATGTTTTTGCCAAGCAGATTGGTTTCCAGACTGAGTATTATCAAACAGAAGCCAGCCCTCATCTGTCTTCACGTGAACTGATGACCTCCCAGTACACTGCATCTGTCCCCAAAACCACCGAGCAAGAAATCAGATGCTCTTTGCAGAGTGCTTTGGAAATTGGTTCATTTTTTAATAAAAAGCTTTCGAATAGAAACAGCTAAATTTAGAAGCAAAGTAATTAAAATTGATTTCAGTATTCATTGAAGCAGGTGTTAGGCTTCAGATTCAATTATGTTGTAATTTTGATGATTAAAATCAATGGTATTCTAAAGCTCCGAGTTCATTTCTTTAAGCAATGAAAATGTGTTTTTCAACATGAGAAGAAAACGTGCATTTTGCAGCGCTTGAAAAGAAGACAAATATTATGCCAGTTTTAAAATAACTAATCTGTTCGACTTAAGGACAAATCCTTATCGAAAAAGTCAGTCTCGAAAACACGGCATAGGTTTACACGGATCCAGGGGCAGGGTGCAGTAGGAAGCAAGTGAATGTCGTCAGTGACAACCAACGACGCAACAGGAGATGTCATCACAAGCCTGGTTCCCTGGGTGTGCTGCGCTGGCGCTGTGTAGCGCCAGCGCAGCACACCCAGGGAGCCAGGCTGATGTCATCACATGCCCAGTCCTGTCACCTATTGGCACATTTGTGACCAACTCGTGTTATTCCGGGACAAGCCGAATAGCGACTCGTGCCCCTCTCGTGGCCATTTTTGCGACCGGGTTCCGTCTTAGCGCAAACGGGCATACCTAAAACAATTGTCAACTTGTTGCGTAATGGTTCACATATATTTCCCCGTATATTATATATATTTCAGATGCAATTTAAAGCACATCTGGACATGCGGATTTATACAGTATGCTTGAACACATTTAATTGTGTCTTGGATATATTTTTAGATGCAAGACAGATGTAAAATCGAAAATTATTTCTGAGGGATTCTTTGACGAAGAAATTGAAATCATACGCGCATTCTCATTGGTTTGTCGTATTTTCGCACATAACATTCATCGACAGGGGGACGAGTCTTCTTGCAGGTTACGGAAAGGGGCGAGTAGTGACGAATGCTATTGGCAGCGTCCACAACTGTATTGTTCAGAAACTAGGTCAGTATCTGTGATATCATTGGTTTGTTTAAATTGATGATCAGGGGCGATCGGGTAGCCTAGTAGTTAAAACGCTCGCTCGCCACGCTCAAGACCCGGGTTCGATTCCCAACATTCGTACAATGTGTGAAGCCCCTTTCTGATGTCCTCCGCAGTGATATTGCTGGTATATTGCTAAAAGCGGCGTAAAAAACATACTCACTCACTTAAATTGGTGATCACTAGGTCATGTAAATAAATCGGTGATTTATTGTTTACAAACAGTGTCATGGGTTTCATGCAACTTTATGCACACTGTGAATGGCATAAAGGACGTGCTCCCCCCTTTCGCGAACACCTGGTGTCATCACTGACTTCAAAGGTCCATTCATATAATTTCCACAGCTATTTGGCCCTATATGCCAAATGGAATCCTTTTCGATGGATAATGTGGTTAACTTCTTGCATTGAAGCTTCATGCTGTTAATACCGTATTCGACATAATAAGCGCCCAGGGCGCTCTCAAAATTAGAAATAGGGGGCTCTTATAAGAATATTATTTTGGTGAAAAACGAACAGAGTTGAAAGATCGTAAATTTCGATGTTTATGCTGACAGTCTGAAATGTTTATATATGACAGATATATTTTTCCAGGATTTAATTTCCCATGATTAAGGATGCATACAACACACGTATTATACGCGAATAAATAAGTCTTGTGTACGTTAAAGGGGTGCTAATTGGGATTGTTCACTAGCCAATATATTAGCAAATATCGATGTGGGCGCTTATTACGTCGAATACGGTATCACGAAACCACATGCAATAAACAAGTCGTGAGGGGTAACAAACGGGATCAAGTGGTCAATTTCGCTGACTTGGTAGATCAATGTCGTCGATCGATGCTCATGATGTCAATCACTGGATTGTCTGTTCAAGACTCGATTATTTACAAACCGCCGTCATATAGCTGAAATAGCTGTAGTTCGGCGTTTAACAACAAACAAAGAAAAAAAATGAAAAAATAACTTACACATGCATGAGGAAAGCACACGTGGTTGTGAGGAGGAACACGCGGTGGAGGAGGTTGAAGAAAAACGAGGCTATGCGGGCTGCTAGTTGATCCGTTACCATGGACGCCACCAGTTCAAACACAGAAAGTGCTGACGTAGTAAACATAACCGGAAGTATATTCTGCATTTGTTGCGTACCAGCAGGAACTCCTGTGGAATAAACCAGTCTGTGAGTACATGATAAGGATGATGATGCGCATAAAAATTTATAATTTTTCTGATGAACTATTTTACTGCTAATGACACACGAACCCAAAAATGTAAAAAAACGTACCTAACTCTCTTCTCCTGTATTTGTCTATCCACAAGCCAGCAACAGGGGAGAGAACCACGGCGAATATTTGCACACTGCCGTAGAGCTGTTCATAGTCTGAAAGGGAGTGAGTGAGTCAGTGAGTGAGTGAGTTGGGTTTAACGCCGCTTTTAACAGCATTCCAGTTATATCACGGCGTGTCAGCTTAATGTGGGTGGAAAGCCCGAAGTGATGCAGGTCTCAGACGTTTACCACTTCGGTGAAACCCACGAGCACGGGTATGGTGCTGACAAACCTAGAAACATAATTGGGGCGAACCGGGATTCGAACCCACAATCATACGTTTCTGGCGTGCCCAAGGGACGCAACTCTGCAAATCGAATCGTGCCCCCGTCTGAAAGGGAAGATATCTTCGCATGACATTTATACAAATAGATGACATAGTTTGATGACACACAATACATCCGGGCCCCGTTTCACAAAGTGAATGTGGTGGTACAACGGTACGAACTATTATTTTCAACACAGACTAACGACAGTCTTGCTATAGGTTCGCTAAGGTCACACAGTTTACCCCCCGATCTTTGACCAAACGGGGATTTCACGTGCAGACCGATTGCGAAGTCGTACAATTCAGTTTCAAGTGGATTGCCTTATGTGCCGTTCCGTGAGCACCGGTGTCTACGCTGGCATTTAATGGTCCATTCATAGAGCGGCTACCGGTAGAGTAGGACATGCTTACCCTTTTCTCTAACACCTGCTGTCATCACTGATTTTCAGTAATCAATTCGTAGCGAGTGAGCGAGTTGGGTTTAACGGCGCTTTTAACAGTATTCCAGTCATATCGCGGCGTGTCAGCTTAATGTGGGAGGCAAACCCGAAGTGATGAAGGTCTGAGACGTTTACCACTTCGGTGAAACCCACGAGCACGGGTACGGTGCTGACAAACTTAGAAACATATTTGGGGCGAACCGGGATTCGAACCCACAATCATAGGTTTCTGGCTTGCCCAAGGGACGCAACTCACCACAGCGAATTGCGGCGCCTTAGACGACTGGGCCACCCGTGCCCCCCTAATCAATTCGTAAAATTGAACCAACTGTTTCGGCAGATACCCAAGACTGATAATTCTCTGGCGTTGACGTTTTATATTTAGAGATGTATAGATATATGAAGGCCCTGATACACATTGGTCGCCAAGGCAACCATATTCCGAAGAAAGTTATTAGCAGATGCTCATGATGTCAGTCACTGGATTATCTGGTCTCGATAATTTACATTCGCCGTTATACAGCTAGAATATTGCGGCGTTAAACAACAAACAAACAACATTCCCAAGATCAATGACAATGAACTTTCAAATGACAATGAATATTTACAGGATCCTGTCAGACGGTAGTTGTACACACAAACCATTTTGAGACTTTGTTGTTTAGTTTTTCCGCTGTATAATGTGAAAAAGCATATTTATTTACACATAACGTTGCCAGATTAAGTCAAAAAAGTAAAAAGTACAATACACTTTTATCCACTTATCCACTGAAAATCTATATTTCAAAAGATCAACATATGATTCGCAATTAAACTGTAACCAGAATATAATTAAATGAAGCCTTTTCCCTAATATTCGAAAGTATAAAGCCAAACAAACAAAGCTAGAAACAGTCATCCAAATACAACGTGATATACAGGTGACACATGCTCACCTTGCCGTACCACCACTTTCATTCGGCTGATTTCGTGTGCCTTTTGAAAGGATCTTGTCGCTTTTATTTGCATAAAAGGAACTGTACAACCTTTCCACTGTGTGCGATACACATGCCCCCAAGAGTGTAAGAATCCTAGAAATGTGGGTTCGAATCCCAGATTCGTTCTATGATCGTGGTTGCGAATCCTTGATTCGCCCAGATTATGCTTTTTGGTTTGTCAGCATCACAGTCATGCACGTGGGCAACCTGACACGGTGTGAAATAACTGCAATACTGTTCAAAACGGCGCTAAACACTCACTCACTTAATTTTTAACTGTCGGGTAAAAAAAAGTATACCCAAGAAATGCAAACGTTATCAGTAGGTTATAACAAATATAAGTCGCCGGAACGCTGCAAACTTAAGTTCCAAAACACAACTAGAATGCCCGTATCCAATACATCAACTCCGTGTTTGTTTCATTTCAGGCCACAGTCAAACATGGGTTGATACTTTCTTTTCCCCCGGCAGATTATTTCATGCAATTTGAAGAAACATTTCACAGATATGACACTTTGTCATTTTGAAACAAACAAAAACACGCACCTGTACACGCGGTTAGAGGAAAATATGACCTGCGGATAATACCGATAATAAACAATATACATATCTGAGTGATTGAGTATTGTTTTCCGCCGCTTTTTGCAATATTCCAGCAATATCACGGCGGGGGGCACCAGAAATGGGCTTCACACATTGTACCTATGTGGGGAATCGAACCCGGGCCTTCGGCGTGACGAGCGAACGCTTTAACCACTAGGCTACCTACCCCACCGCCCATATGCATATTTGCATACAGTAATCTACGTTTATAACGAACACGCTTATAAGAAACTGACGGATATGTTTTGTTGGTCCCTGACATTTACTTTTATCAACGAGTGTTGATATATTTTTCAGTTTGTAGACAGTAGTGAGTAGTGTCTTAAGTGTAAAAAGTAATGCTTACAGCTTCAGTAGCAGAGCTATTAGTGATGTCATCTGATTGTGACGTCATGGTAACAATGACGTCACAATGGTCTGCAAAGCATTGTGATGCATTTAATTGCAGCGATATCTACAGTGTAGATATCGTTTGATCTCACCCAGGCGATATCTCCTGTGGGGGCCAGTTTTGGATGATAAATGCGTATAACGAACTATGGTTATAACGAATAAAATTAGTGGTACCTTTGAATTCGTTATAACCGTAGTTTACTGTATAGGTGTATTAGTTGATTCGTGTTCAATACCGAGACACTATTCACGGACAAGGAAATATCCGATCTTAATTATGAGCATTCCTGAGCACTGACATGGAAGAACTCTTAACACTCTCAGCTGTCGGCGAATTTATACGCCAAGCGCGGGCGACACGAAATACTAACGTGTAGCATGGCGTCAATTACCACTATGCCATCACACGAGTGAAGCAACAATGGTTGGTTTAGCCACAGGGTTGTATGACTCAAAACACTGAGATATATGTGCAGGGTGGTGTGTCTGCAAGCTACAATTACTGTTACTGATCTTGCGTCAAAATAGCTTTGTTAAACTTTGATGTCGCAACAGCCGCGGGCTCCGCACTCGAAGTGGCTGCGAAACAGTAGGCGTTGCTGCATGGAGTTACGCAGCTAAAGATTACAATGGTTAGAGGACCGATTAGGACACTGCAACGGAGGAGGGCGGTGCGGTGGAGCTTTACAAGCACCTTCGGGTGGAAATGATAGACACACTCCCTGTCGAGTCTCTCGCAATGGCCACAAGATACTTTCCAAGATGATAATATTTTGATTCAATATAACACCAATATGGGTTATTTTGAAAATACATCCGATGTTTTCGCAGAGAATACGATAATTGTGTCTGGATGAGACAAAGGACAACTTCGTATACATGTATGACGTATGCATAGGAGTGTATGCCTGCATGCAAGCGGGCGTGTGTTTGCTTGCTTGCGTGTGTGTTTGTGTGCGTGCGTGCGTGCGTGTGTAAAATCGTGTTTGTATGAGTATGTTTGTAGTGTGTGGGGATGTGTTCTTATGTATGATTGGGGGGCACGGGTGGCCCAGTCATCTAAGGCGCCGCGATTCGCTGTGCAGAGTTGCGTCCCTTGGGCACGCCAGAAACCTATGATTGTGGGTTCGAATCCCGGTTCGCCCCGATTATGTTTCTAGGTTTGTCAGCACCATACCCGTGCTCGTGGGTTTCACCGAAGTGGTAAACGTCTGAGACCTGCATCACTTCGGGCTTTCCTCCCACATTAAGCTGACACGCCGTGATATAACTGGAATATTGTTAAAAGCGGCGTTAAACCCAACTCACTCACTCAATTATGTATGATTGTGCGTGCGTGCGTTTTCGCCTGTTCTAGTCTGCATGTTAGTATAAGATATTTGCGGGTTTGCACCAGACAAACCAGTGACTGATAGTCTGAGCATCGTCCAACGCCATCGAGTTACGATGACGCAACCCACAAAGGAACACGCTCAGGTTACAGGGCACCTATTTAAACAGTCTGGAATCAACACGAACAGATCCAATAATTATACAACGTTCCCCTCTGGCAAACTATTCATAGGTTTGATCAACACCGACACCTGACATTTATGTTTGTGTATATATCTCTCCAAAACAGTATCTCACATCAAGTTTCCAATCATGTTTATTGGATATCTAACTAAATATGAGACAATTGTCCTTAATTATTAGAAAAATTCATATTTTGAGCAGAATGGTGTCATACTCAGTCTATCTATTCGTTCTTGAAAGACATCTTCTTTCCCCTTAAATTTAACTGCCAGATGATTAATCCCACGTCTACGTACAAAGTATCAGTTGCAAACCTAAACATTTGAAATGTTTTATGTGAAGAGGTGGGGTAAAATGGGGTTTAAACGTCGTGTTCAAGGTTATTGCATTTAAATAGAGACGGGCGTGCGTGCGCGTGCGTGCGTGCGTGCGTGCGTGCGTGCGTGCGTGCGTGCGTGCGTGCGTGCGTGTGCGTGTGCGTGTGTAATGCTAGTTCGGACCAATGCCGGCTTTATAGTGCTATCCCACTGTGATACCATGCCGCGGTTTCACACGGATACGCTACTCTCCCTACTGTATACACAGTGTACTGACTCCGAGCCGACCAAGCCTTGTTTTACCCCTGTAATGCCGAGCACCAGGCAGGATACCAACAAGTACCATCTTGTAACGTTTGCTATAACACGACCGGGGATCGTACCACCAACATTCCGCTCATGTCAAAACGATTTGAAAGGAATAAGTGAGTGAGTATGGTTTTACGCCGCTTTTAGCAATATTCCAGCAATATCACGGCGGGGGAACACCAGAAATGGGCTTCACACATTGTACCCATGTCGGGAATCGAATCCGGATCTT